ATACATAATATATATATATATATATATATATATATATATATATATACACCGCGCTAACATACATATATGATCTTCTAAACCGTTAACAATACCTACACACATGTGATTTATACATTTCCGCTCACCTTTCTCCCTGGCTTCAGGATCTCCAGTGCGCAAACTAGCAATGGCGCGGAAAAGTACCTGGGGTGTGAGTGGGCTATTGCCATCCTCATTGAGCTTTCGGTAGAAGTGCTACAAATGGGTTGGAATGGAGACAACCATGCGATGTGGGTAAAGGGGTAGTGGTAGTCAGGTCTCTTGGCGGAGGATTTAGGGACAATGATCAGGTATACGGCGTGGGGGGGGAGGTGGTCTGAATGAGTACAGATGTGAAGAAAGCACATCTGTAGGCACAACCGAATCTCAAGAACCCGAGTACTCCGCCACTCACCGGCACTCCAGCGAAGTCTGATATCAAACAGGTTACAACTCCAATTCCGACGTATAGCTTACTATGATTTTTGGGCGTACGGCACCCCCACACCTTAAATATCACACTAGATTACGACATGGTTCGATTTTACGGCATTTGAATGACTTGACTGTGGTGTAAACCCACTCCTTGGTACTCAACATCGTTGTTTATAGTCATCATAGGCTAAGATATGCGGTACATCTTGAGGTACTAAGGTTCGGCCGTTTACCTCCTGAACCACCATCATCGATTGTGACATAATGATATATACAACATGAAGAAATCGCGGTATACGGCTACTAGATTGATGCTTGTCATCAACCACCACAGTATACAAATAGTTTACGACATGTTTATTTATATACGACATCGAACCGACGGGAATCTCGGTGTACGGTTAACTTCACGATACTCATAATCATATTTTAACGAGATCTTAGATGCTTACGCACACATTGGTAGTTGAAAAAACTACTCCCATTAAAGCAGCAGAGCCCTTGCTACACACCGACACACCTCTAACAGCACTCTTGGGAGATGGGCGGAGTCATTCACCAACGCTTCTAATGAGACGATGCTGCGGCAGAAACATCAGGTACGAGAAAGTACTCATTGAGTTAGAACGATTAACAAAGCTTAATATTGAGGAACGAAGATACGTATTTGAAAAGATGCATACGTGTGCGAACATATATTTCAATACAATATATATGTAAAT